TATATATATATATATATATATATATATATATATATATATATATATATATATATATATATATGAATCAATATTGGTTTAGTCCAGTAGGGTTAAGGCTCCATTTATGCCAAGCTGGTGAACTATTTTAATGTGGAAAATCAAAATATCCCAATAGTCACGTCTAATATCTCCAATAAAAGTGACTGTGGTAAAGCTTTTGGACTGGTCACTGTGGGATTATATTATCAATAAAAACAAATCTTGCTATCAGCACAGACTGCAATATTAACCCCTTAAAATGCCAGACTTATTATATACTAAAGCTTATTATTCAGTAACTACAGGGACTTCAATGCAAACTGTCTTTGCTACTCTTAGGTTATAGAAGTGTGCAGTAAAACTCTAGGCCTGCCGGTGGGCCATGGGCATTTAAGAGGTTGAAGGACTCTGGTCCAGATCAGAGGCAAAAAATCAGTTCCAGCTCACAAAACACTGTATCTGTGCTTCATCAGCCACATCTGTAAACCCAGACCTGCTGCTAATAATGTTTTATGTAAAAACAATGTACAACACTAGTTTCAAAGTAAGGTGCTTCAGTTTCCTAAAAAGATGTAAAGTCATTGTTTGTGAAGGCATGCCACACTTCTTGAGACATTTTCCAACTTGACTGATCGAGTAATTATTCTGGTGGAATAATTATTCAGCTGGCATAATCATTGTAGTTTGCCTGTCGCCGATTTTGACGGCACAAAAACAAACTCTCTTCAAAGCCCTCAAGACAAAATCCTAATAAAAATCTTAAAGTGACTGAAATGTATTTTTTTCCCCTGACAAGCACAAGACATTTTAATTTGGAATAAGTCTGCTAAGTTCAAAACTGACTGAGATGCCACAGCCTCCAAATGAAAGCCACTGATAAATAAAGTGTGCTAAGGCCCTATACGGGCACGTTTTTATCTCAGCGCACCTCCAGTCACTCTGGGACCTATGGCATTTTAAAAAGAGGTTGCATAACTGCGCATCTCTGTTATCTAATATGACGCTAAGCTAAAAGACTGAAATATGTGACGAGGCTGAGATATTCCCATGCCCGTAGACCTACACGTGGTTTCAAAATGCACAGCTAATCTTTGTTGACAGACAAACGTTAGCCTCTAAAGCCACATCCAGAGCTGAAGGGGTGGTTGGATAATCGCTAATATTCCTTCTGTGGCTGGGAAATGTGACTCATTTGAATCATAGCATGTACTGTATGATTGCCTATTCTGAATGAATTGACTTTTTGACCCCACCTTGATGGTCTGAAGCTGAAAATGAACTTTGCCAACATGGTATGTTGGTTGAAAGTGTGTACAGTGCTGTACTGTTGCCATGTACCTACACTACTTAGCTGTATTACCAGAAACACCTGCCATATAAGTGCACTTTGTAGGTTTCCAGTTACAGATTGTTGCCCATCTGCACAAGTTATCAGCCTCTATATCTATAGGTCTATAAGCAGTATTGTGCAAAAGTCTTGAGCACCTGAGAAAATCATACTAAAAAAGCTATTAAATTGGGCAAAAAGAATTGATTTGCTCAGAGAAACTATGATGCTCCAAACACATAGCAAACTGGACGTTTCATTGTTTTTAGTGAAGCCGTGACGGACAATTCTGCCACCGCAAGCAACAACACTCCACAGCAGTGAGTGGAACGCTCCATCAAGAGCTCAATATTCCTGACTTTCGTCGTTGATTGTAGCAGTGTAATGAACTGGATGTTGATTTTTCGGGAGTCGCGGACGCCAAACATCTCGTTCTGGAATTCCAAACGAACTCAGTATTGTACAACACAAAATAAAGGAGTGCAGACCACCCTTCTGCCTTTTTCCACCTTAAATAAACAATCTACGCTGATAAAGCTATCCTCTAATAATCGAGGTGCAAGCATGTGAGCGCAGCATTAGGATCAATACACATATCATCAATACATAAATAATGATTTTAAGAGGTGTGCTGGTGGTAGATTTGAACAAACCTATGCAATTGCTGGGGGCATCGAGGTAAAATCTAGAACCAAACCTGTGCTCTTCTGCCTAGTTCACTTGATATTTACTACTTTTTTTATTTATTTTTTTTTAAACAAGAACTTGTTAGTTTTACTGTGAATGTTATATAGTGTTTTACTAGCAAAACACACCATATAAATGGTTTTAAACAATTTGCTTAGGAGCCTAAGACTTTTGCACAGTACTGTATTTATATCCATTAGGAATGTGTGCAAGTACTTGAATAATTAGTTAACCATTCATGGTGCTAGTATATGAATACTGAATCACTATTCAGATATCTAGTGGTAACACCACAGCCCCAAAATGGGTGGAACAGAACTTATTGTTTCAAAAAACAACAAAAAAAAACTTGGCTGGCTGAGTGACAAAAGGTAACTAAGTAACTGACTGAGTGACTAAAACTACCTTTCATATCATGCTAACAACACGTCTCTATAAAACTATTCATGAGTTTTTATATTATTTTTTTTGATACTGTATCTTTTTCATTTTGTTCAGTTGGTGTCATACTGCAAGTGCTAAACTGGACCGAATTACACATGCTGTGTTTGTTTATTGGTCAGGTTTCATTGCAGGAAGACAGAGAAAATATACAGGCTAACAATTCAGTGAAATGTGATGGTTTTGCTCATATTTGCAAGTAAGTATGTTATGTTATACTTTGCTACTCTGAAACATGAGCGCCTGAACGTGAGCCTGTCGCCAAGGACACATTGTTAATCACATGGCTGAGAAGACAGACAGAGCACGGCTAGCTACCTAATGTTACCTAGGTCCACACATAATAAATATAAATATCTCATTCAGTGAGGAGAAAATACCTTGTGTAGAAAACAATAGCACCAGCATCCGACATGACACTAGTTAGCTCTGTTAGCTCATTAGCTTACCTAAAGAGGCAGTTTCTGTTACTCATCCAACATTAAAACCCTGTTTGTCCCTGTTTTTATAATAAGAATAAGAACATATTTTAGTGTGTTCCTCTGCGTGCTGCTGTTTCTTCAGTGCTGTTAACCAGATAAACATTTATAAACAGGTACTCGAACATCAAAATTAGTCAAAATGCACATTACTACGCACATCCCTAAAATCTATATACTTCTAAATATTTGCTCATTTATCATATTTATCATTCATACTGTTACCTGCTGTTTTTTTTTATATATATATGCTGTCAGAACAAAACCTTGTATCTCCATTTTTGTTGTTTTGCAGTTTTTTGACATAATCTGCAAATGCCTATTATCCTTTACATTGTGTGTAAATTTCATGAATGAATATATATATATATATATATATATACATATATACATACACACACACACTGTGCTGAGTGAGACTACCTTATGGTACTACCTGTACCATGATCTTTGTGCTATGATGTTTCTGAGAAACAAGATGCTGGAGTCTAAAAGCTTCTGGGAGGCTTTCTAGCTTTCCTCCAGAGAGAGAGAGAGAGAGAGAGAGAGAGAGAGAGAGAGCGCTAAGTACTGGATGGCTACCAAGGTCCTTCACCAAAGTGAAGCTCCAAAGAGACAGAGAAGGGGAAAGAGAGAGAGAGAGAGAGAGAGCACAACTATGTTCTGGATGACTCCAAGGCAGAAGTCCTAGAACACTGTCGGACCACAGTTTGACCTTGAAGATTATGAGTCGAGAGGAGCTAAAAAGGAATCTTATTCCAGCGTTTTAATACTTTTTAATCGGCTGTTTTCGCTCCGATATGATGTATAATGAGAAAGCCTGAACAGCTATCTGCTGTTAGCCCTGCTGCAGCCCCACTTCATAAAGGTCAAGAAGAACCGTCACGTTCTGCTCAATTTTCACAGCTGCACCCTTTTCAGCGCAGCAGCCCGCTCTGACTCTAAACACTCACGTCATTCCACACTGACATTTCCATCCTCTCACCAAAATCTGAAGTTGATCAGTCTGGATTAACCGGGTCGAGCTGTACTGCTGTTCTGGTAGTTTTTAGAAAGTCCATACTGAAGTGATCATTTTAAGAACCTGACCTTTTTTTAAATCTTCGCTCACACTTAATAGGAGAGAAAATGAGGGGATTTTTGCTTCAGACCCTTAATTCCTACTAAAGCAGTTAATTCATTGTTAGCCTATATCGCTGTACTGCTTATTCTCCCTCTGCCTGACTTCATAACTGGATATAATCTTTTAAACAGATGTCCTGAGCTCCTGCACTGCAGATTTTTGAGCTTTACATTCTCAAATACATCCAAAATAATGCTATCAGCATTGATTATATTAGTGATAGAATAATCTAGAGATATTTTTGATGATTAATCAAAATCATGCATAGTCTCTTTAAAAAATTATAAAATACTTTTATGATGAAAGTTAAACTGGGATGCTTTCACTTCATTAAAAAAATGTTCAAAAACATAAATAAAACAAATATGGCAAAGGTGGAAAATATAAAACATAAAATATGGCAAATATGTGCAAAACTTATGGCACATTTTATAATTTATGTTTCACTTTTTTCCCAATATTTCCAATCCCTAAAAAACTAAATTTGTGCAATTACATTAAAAAAATAAATTTTTAAAAGTTCTCTGTAAAGCTTGTGTTCACCTATTTTCACTTAGATCAATAAACCATGCTAACATGCTATTAAATCAACAAAACATGTCATTTGACGAGGACTGTTCAAGCTTTTGTAACTGCAGCTGTGATTATCAATGCCTTCATAAGTTAAGTCAAGCGGAGTGGAGAAAACACTAAAATGTGCAGTGCAGGAAAACCGGAACATTAAACCTCTCTATGCCTCACCCTGGAATATACAGGGAAAACTTTACAGGTAAATGTATGTTTTTCAGAATCATAAAGATGTATTTTGATTGTTACCTTCATCAAAACTTTGTATATCTGGAACTGTAACTTCACAGAAGAAGGTTCTGTGTAGCAGCTACAAAAACAATAAATGAAAGGTATAAAAAAGAGGTTGAATACTTACAACCATCCCATTTAGGGACACCCAGCAATCTGGAGGGAAGTCCTGGAGCAGAGGCACCAGGAACTGCAGGCAGCCGTCCCAATGACACAGCAACAGCATCATTCCAATCAGATTAAAGATTCTTACCACTGCACTCGCCAGGTCATAGGTCATGTGGAAAATCTGAGGAAAAAAAAAAAACAGAAAAGAAATGACAGAGGTCAGTCATTTCAGGAGAAAAACTGTTTACCACGTGATTCACACACTACAGGCCAAAAGGCTGGAAACAAAACAAACTTTGTAAAAATAATAATGAGAATTTTGTTACTTCACTATTTATCACATAGATAAATAAATAATGTGATATGCCTGCTTTTGTTGGATTTGTAGGCTCCACAGAACATAAATGCATGATCATCCTATTTTCACAAAAAGGCAAGTGAAATTTCACAGGACATTCATAACTTCATGTGACATACATATCGTTGCGAGTGTGGAATGGTATGATGTTGTACGGATGTGCAATTCATTCTTTTCCCTCAAGTGTGTCTGTAATATACAAAGTATGCCATGTTTCATCTCGAATTACAGGTGAAATTGTGCCAGAGACATTGGAATGATCTTCAAAGTGGGGGGGCACAACAGTTGCATGATATAATGTGATTTGTTCACAAGGAAAGCAGGAAGGGTGTGGTGAAGACTGGAGGAGGACGCCAGACTCCCGCCATGAGGAAGGAGGGCCAATCAGCATTGAGGAACGAATGTGACAATGAGTGGGTTGCTTCCCACACCTAAACCCCACAAAAGACTCAGCACCTCAAGTTTTCTTAGAAGTTGCAAACTGGGGGGGTCTCCCGGGTGGTGCAAACATCTAAGTGGTGGCCTTATCATCAGGAGATCACAAGTTCAATGCCTGGTGATGCTACAGCCATCCGTAGCCGGGAGTTCAAGAGAGCACAATTGGCCTCGCTCTCTCTGGGTGGGTAGGATGGCCCCGCTTCTCCCCTCATCACCCAGCACTATGCTAGTCATGTAGGGGTCTGTTAGCTGGTGGTTGGCACTTTCCTCCAAGCGCGTTCAGCTGTCCAATGATGTTGCCTTAGTGGCAGTGGTATCGTGAGACTGGGGGAGTTCTAGCTAGTGGGTGGCACTGGATATGAGGAAATTGGGGAGCTGCAAATTGAAGCTCCTGATTTCCAGTCACTAATTTAGGAATCGGAACTTTCGCCTCCTACCTTTCCACTTATCTCATTTTGAACTCAGTCCAATTCTCACTCATCAAAAGATGAGACAATGCATGCAAACTTCTGGACTGCTACCTCCTTCTGTCCTTCTCAATTCCCAGAGGCAGACCTTTTTGGCGGAAGCCCAACTGGGGCCTAAGTCATCAAACCCAAGGACACAATTTTGAGCGTAAATATACAACACTGGCATGATGGCAAGTCTAGAGACGTTTTAAACTCTTTAGAATCTAATTTGGTGTAAACTCTAGACAGATAAGGTCATCACTGTAGTTTGCCATCTTACATAAGGTGTTAGTCAGTCCCACTTTTAGTTTTCATTCAGGCAACTTTAAAGTTCTGCTTATTTACCTATATCTGACTTTACTTATATCATTTAGGTTTCTCATATTACCTTGTTCAGTTTCATTTTACTTTGTACACTGTACACATTTATCTTTCATCATCCTTTTTACCCCGTTCCTTTATTATTCAAATTTGTAAATGTTTTATGCATGTGTGTATCTTGTATCACAGAAGTTCCAACAACTAACAAAGAATCTGAGTAATCAAATTTCCTTCACACAATAAAAACTGATTACGGTTTCCATTGTTAATATTGGTCTCGTATTTTGTCCTGTGGGACTGGTGCCACACTTATTAATAATAATAACTTGTAATATTTTAATTAATAGTAATAATTTACCCACAACTCCTAAAGATTACATGAAAACCTTGACTGACAAAACACCCACAGAAACCCATCTTGATCTGTGATTGGTCAGGATGATCCCAGCAAACAGTAAAAACACTGTGAGGATGCACAAGTGTTGGAATCACATTGCATTAAAAAAAGTTCATCAGCTTTGATAAATTTGATTAGATTTCAAAACAATGCATTTGTATCACTATAGAAGAAAAGATAGAAATGTAAAATTTCTCTGTATTCCTTGTGGAGCAAATACATGAAAAATATCGGATACTGGCATAGACCCACGATTCCCATACCAGTGCATCTCCAGTAATATGTTTATTAACTCAAAACAGGCAGGTTTGCTCCTTAGCGTGCTCAGTAAGTAATTGTTAATGCGTTTATCTCCTGCTGACTCTCCTGCAGGGTTTTATAGCAGCTCTAATCAGATCCACCTGATTCCCCCATTCAGATACTCCAGAAGATCAACTCAATTAGGTGTTACATTAGAAGTTTATAAAGAATTAAAAACAGAGTGCAAGAGTGCAAAGAAGGCTATACTGAGGCCAGCAGTACAGTACAAACAACGAAAGGAGTATCCAACTACATTCAAACGCACTATTTAAAAACAACTCAGGCTCAACGCTGATATTAAAGCACATCTGATACAATGTTTGAGGCCTCTTTGCTTCACTTTTTTGTTTATTTTGCAGAACTGTTGTATAAAAGCAATAGAGCTTTTAGATCATCTCAGAACAAACAAAACTCTGTTTTGTCAAAAAGACATTAAGTGTATTCCAATTGCTCATATACTTCCCTGCAAACCAGACTGCACAGGGTATTTGGGCATGTTAAGGGGATTACAAATCACACACTCTTAAAAAATATGGTTCTTCAAGAGTTCTTCAGTAAAGAAAATGGTTCTAAATTGAACTCAAAGAACCCACTGCATGATTAAAGGGTTCTTTGCATCACAAAAGTGTTCTTCTACTGTTACAATGTCAAGCTTATTATAGTAGAAGAACCCTTTTTGGTACTATATTAGGGAGCCCTGCTGGTGACATCCCATACTATAATAAAAATAATGCGGGGCCACACCTTATTAATGCGTGGAAACGAGATCCTAACGTGTGGCAATGACTTAGTAAGGCATGGGAATGAAATAATTAAGTCATGGCCATGACTTAGTAAGGCGTGGGAACAAGATCCTTCCTTACTAAGTCGTGGCCATGCATTAGGATCTCGTTCCCACACCTTACTAAGTTGTGGCCATGCATTAGGATCTCGTTCCCATGCCTTACTAAGTTGTGGCCACAACTTAATTATCTTGTTCCCATGCCTAAGTTGTGGCCATGCATTAGGATCTCATTCCCATGCCTTATTAAGTCGTGTCCACGACTTAATTATCTTGTTCCCATGCCTTACTAAGTCGTGGTCATGCATTGTTTTTATTTATACAGGATTTCTACCACTCTTTTCAAAAAGAACCATCTACAGCACATTCTCCATCATTGTGAAGAGCCCTTTCGTGATACAAAGAATGCTTTAATCATACAACGGGTTCTTTGAATGTTCGTGGGCCTATATAGAACCATTTTCTTTACTTCGGACTGCACAGGGAGTAGTGAACAGTGGTTTATTATTGCAAAGGAAGCTGCAGGAAGTTTACCCATGAGTCATCATGTCTCTTGAAGATGCATGGTGCTTCGTGTTTGATTATGACACTGCAGGACGTTCTGAAATGAAGGTATTTATCAACTGCAGTTCCCTTAATCGACACCCTGTGCTCAAGCGTGCATGGAATTACTGCTTAGAGACCCTGTGGAATGGACTGCAGTTAACGTTTTGATTCAAAATGTCTTTTATTTGAGGTACACTGTCAACTTGAGAGTACAGCATTACTTATTGAATATTCTGGAACAAACCTCTTTGGTTAAACTAGATATTATTAAAGGCTGATTGACCTAATTCAGCACCTTTTTGTCTGTAATATATGGTATAGTACATGATATGGATAGATGTTGGAAGATGTTATCACTTCAAAAAATAATAAGATGAAGAAGGTATTTTTCTCTGGGAATCATATAAGTTGTCCATGACTAATGAGTATTCTTTCCTCTTATGAGTGCTGCATACAGATGAAGTCTCTTCACATCACCACTAGATCCCTTTCATGCTGACTAATGCAGGCGCCGTTCTACACCCACTGAAGGAGGAATGTGTTATGAGGAACATGATTCAGCACGAGTGGAGGCTTAAGAAATTTTGTGCGGAATGTTGATGAGAAAATGTTGATGTTTTTGTATTAATCATCTCCAGCCTCAATAACAAGACTAAAGAACAAAACTAGAGAGATCGATTAGCTATCGCTATGTACACTAATGAGCCAAAATATTATGACCTAATAAGCTGTTGGTCCTCCGAATGCCACTAAAACAGCTCTGACCTGCAAGGGGCATACCTGGTGGGCAACAATGTTTAGGCAGGTGGCAGGTGTCAAACTGATGTGCACATGAATGCCCAGACCCAGGGGTTCACAGCACAATGCTCCCCTGAGAATCAGTCTTCCTCCTTGCTTTCTTGTCTTTTTTCCACCGTGCATCCTGGTGCCATCACTTCTCCAGGTAAATGGCACACCCACTGTAAACAGCCGTTCATGTGATGTAAAAGAAAATGGGACCCATTGGACCAGGTGGCCTTCTTCCACTGCTCCAAGACACCCACTGTAAGCATGTTTGACAGTGGAAAGGGGGAACTCAGCAGGGTGTAAAGCACTGTGTGTTATGACATATTTCTTCATTATAACCATCATTAAACATTTCTGTGACTGTCACAGTAGCCTTTCTGTCAGCTCAGACCCTACGAGATCGCCCTCGTACATCAATGAGTCTTGGGCGCTCAAGACCCTGTCACTGGTTTATAGTTTGTCCTCATTGGACCACTGTTGGTAGGTAGTCACCAATGCTCACGGGGGAGAACCCTACAAGCCTTGCCACTGAGGAGACACTCCAACCCAGGGGTCTGGCCGTAACGATTCAGCCCTTGTCAAAGTCACTCAAGTCTTAATGCCTGCCCATTTCTCTCGCTTCCAATACAATGACTACAAGGACCAACTGTTTGCCTGATATGCATCTCTTATCAATTATAATGATTTGGCTCATCAGTGTATCTCAACAGAATTAGAACTGCTAGTTCACTATGCTATATGTGTATATATGTGTGTGTGTGTGTGTGTGTGTGTGTGTGTGTGTGTGTATCACTGCTGTTGGGAC